GATAAATGCTAACATAATTATCTGAAGTTCCGTCAATTCTTCTTTTTCTGATGAAGAAGAAAAACATACCCGTATTGGTTAAAGGAGGGCGACCGCTGGAGATAACCCAAAATAATACTCCAATACTAAAAATATCTGATTTCTTATTTCTTCTGAAATTTTTCATATCTCTTAGAAATGCTGGATAAATGTAGCTTATCACACCTAAACCGGATTTCGGAAGTAGACTGATCATTTGAAAGTTTTGAATAGCCTAAATCTGAAATTTTGATTTTTCCCTTATGAACGAGAATACTATTATATTAAAAAACGGTTCAAATTAGTGTTTATGAATTAAATTCATTAATTTAAAAAAATATATAAACTTTACCAAATCCTGATGAATAACACCTGCGTCATGTATACGCTTTACTCCGCTAGCGAGTTGTTTTGCCAAATTCAATTTATCGTTGCCACTCAAGTAGTTAAAATTAACGTCCGAGGGTTCCATCGTTAGCATATTTCAAAACAAGCATGTATTTCTCGGAAGTCGGATCTAAAGAGTATTTTCGTTAATTTATTAATTAGAGAGTTTAAAAAGATTAAATAAATATTTTACCTTGAGTAATTCCATAAAAGCGAATAATGTTTTTATGATGAGTAAGTTTAAAAAGACTTTCATCTATAGAAATCATTAGTTTTGAATTTAGATGTTACAATTCTCAAATATAAGTGATACCTCTTTAATAAATTGTTCATTTATCTCTTTATTATATCTTTTATCTATTATTTAAAGACATTTTAAAGCAACAGTTATATCTCCATCTTTTAGCACAGCTTTATTGACTTCACCGAATGCGCCATTTCCAATTACTTTTTTATCAGAAAATTCATTAAAATCAAAAAATTTTAATTGTTCTTCTGATTCAACCAAACAATTGCTAATGACATTTTTTATTGTTTCGTTGTTTGAAAAACGTTGGTTAACGTTAAATACAATTTGTGAAGCTATGAATTTGAATGGATAAAGATAATACATGTACATGTAAAAAGAATATTAAAAAGAGAAATTTGTGCATCATGACTTTTAACTTGGTAAGACCTGAAATAAATGAAATAAAAAGAAACATTGAACTATTGTTACAGTGGGATTGAATTTACATGAATTTGGGGAAATTTGTGCACCGTGACTGTAGATAGGAGAGGGCGATTAGACTAATTTTACCTGTTGGTACGGATATCATTCAATTTGGACGTTTTCGAAGGTGAGTAAGTGGGTAATTATAGGGAAGGGTAAAGGGGATTTTCGTTTATTAATTACTAACTAATCTATTCTTTTTATTCCTGCGCTTTTTCTAGATAAAAGCCTTAAACTCGGATCAATCAAATCACTCAATCAATGATGCATTTTGCCTTTTCTGGACTAAGGAACCTAACCCATTCATCATCTTTTCTGGTGGAAAGAACCTAAACCAACATGTATAGAATTACAATTCTTTGGAGCAAATTTTTACAAGTATTTCTCTTGGCGAAAAGGTTTGTATTCAATTTTATTTAAAGGTCCAAGAGCCATTTGTTTTATACATTTTGTCATTTTTTACTATATTAAAAAAAATACTATTATAATTCTATTTAATTTCTTTATTACATTAATAGATCAAGCAGCAGTAAAGAATGACTAAAGAAAGAGTGATGTGATCTATTATACTGAAGAATGTGAATAATTGTGCTGAAGAATCATATAAAATAATTTTTCAAGATTCTTAAAAGTATAATCATAATATAGATGTGAGTATTACTTTATATCTTCTCAAAATAACTTGATAAAATTAAGTTTATAATAAAACTTTGAATAAAAGATATATATATAGCCAGTTGCTTTAATAATCTCTTATAAATAATTCTTTTATAATATAAAATCAGATTAAATTTCGTTAGTTTATCGAGCCGAGATTTACCAAGATTTTCTTTAACAGTTCAGTAATAATTTCGGTAATCAATATTAGTATAAGATGGGGTGCCACTCAACAACCCGACACCCATTTTCCTGGAATTCCAACAACTCGACAACCCAACTTCCGACAATCCAACAACCCGACAATCCAACAACCCGACAATCCAACAACCTGACAATCCAACATCTTAACATAAGAAACATCCCAACAACTGACTTCCCGATAATCTAACTTTCCAGCATCATTATACATTTTAAATCAGAAATTAGACTAAGTTTAGATTTGTCGAAGTTAGATTCATCGGATTGTCGGGAAGTTGGGTATGTCGGGATATGGCGGGATATGGATTGTCGGAAGTTGGGTTGTCGAGTTATTGGAATTCCAGGAAGATGAGCGTCAAGATGTTGAGGTAGATCCTATAAAATATCAATTGTGAACTTTGCACTAAAAATGGGTGCAATGCCAAGTTTTAGCATATAAATTTTTTATGCTCAATTCTGAGTTTAGAATATTTAACATGTTAGTTCACGAGATATTGCACAAGACTTATTAAAAGACTTATTGAAATAATTATAATTATTCCGATATGCTTTTTTATCGGCTAAAATAACAAAGAAATGATATTATAAACATGTTAAAGTGTTAGCTTGTAGTAATAACCAAGATTAAATTGTGCGCTGAGGTGTCCTGACTCTGCTGCTTTCAAACTCACTCGAATGTTTTTTGTTCATCTTTGATTTTTCCTATTCCATTTCGATAGCAATATCCAAGATTATTTTATGTATTGAACCTTTTAAATTTTTCTTCATAATTTTCATTATATATGAAAATGTTTTCAAAGAGTATCAATATACATGTATCAGGATGTGTATCAATTGTTGCTGATTCATAATTTATAAATGATGATGAATTACTGTATTCATGATTTTATGATTAAACAGTTCTTGCATCTTAAGTTGTTCACAGCTAGAAATCATTTTGAAACTACAATTGATTGATTAACTTTAAAATGGTATAAAATTAGAAATAATTGTTAAAGAAACATGAATTTATATATGGCTTGAAAATTTAAATTTTTTGTTTTACTGTATAATTTTTGAACCGGGTGATACTTTTGTGGGTACTGTACATGTAGTAAAGGTTCGACGAAGAAAACTCTGAATCATGTGATTCCGATCTGTGCCGATAAAATTTGAATCATTACAGATGTGAGATAAGTCATGTTTAAAACGGAGGCGAACATAACTTTTAAAATATAGGCACGTATTAAATATAACGATAAGTAGAAAAATTGGGTTGTTTTCATCCAAACTTTTGAGTGGGAATTTGCTGTTATGATTAGTTTTGGAAACATAGTACTCAGGAGGTTTTTCATTATGCCCAACCTGTTTATAATAAAGTTCTCTCTTTAAGATGAGTATTAGCATTACAATTGTCTGTTAATATATTCTATAGCAGAAATTATATTTTATAGCCACATATTATAAATGATCTCGTTTGACGTGAAGAAATTTTCAAATACATGCAATAAAATCTTGTGTGAGTTGATATGTTCATTTTTTATTATTACTATTATATAATACGCTAATGGATTGATTAAACTTTCTATTATTAATTTTGGCACAAATCTCTGTTTATAAATATAAGTAATATAAAAATACATTCCACAGCTAAACTCTAAATTAATGTTCCCGTCATATGTGATGATAGTTAAATTCGCATTTAAATTACAGGAAACGATTCCAGACGCTTGTGTTTGTGAGTTGTCAGGATTAGTGACGTTTTGAGTGTTTATTGGCTAAATGTTGTAACAGAATAATTTCCGGAAAAGGTGGAATTCTAGTGTTTTATCGGATATAAATAATTGGTAAATCAAAAAAAAAAACTGATAACCCATAAATTTTAAATGCACAGCGCCGCTTACACTTCAATTATCGGTTGATGTTGAACTTTCACATAACTTGCAAGAGTCCCAAACGTGTTATCAAGTCAGCAGATAACTGTATATCACTTCCAATTGTGGATGCGAGTCAAGTCGAGATGTTCCGTTATTCGGAATTTTTTTGTCGGGCTTAGGGATTATGTTTGTCGGGATTTGACGTTACCGGTATTGTATATAAAACAATTTATCACAATACGTATTATAGTATCAATTAATCTTAACTTATTCTTATAGTTAAATGGTGTATTAAATAACATCATTAAATTTTCTCGCAAGATATATTTAAAAATGATATAATATAGAGAATAATCGCACGCTCTCTTATTTTATTTTGCAAAACAGCGGTGTCAACTTTCGGATACAACGAATTACAATCAATAAAATAATCGCGGACATTATTAAGTCACCCGAAACGATCCTACTGTAGCAACGCTAAAATTCAGTCTAGTATATTGTTGTCTAAACTAGTTGTCAATGCAATGTAAAAATAGAATCATCGTATAATTCGGCGTTCTATTGTTTCTTGCATAATTTATTTTTATCTGTATCGTCATAACGATAACGATGACTAAAACAACGCCAGTACGTGATAGCATATCGATATAAGTTTAATATGTATTGAAAAAAAATTTTGTACAATATATTACAACTAAAATACATAAAAGAATGTCCCGCTATTCTTTTTAGCAAGATTAAATCCTATTATTCGCCTTTAACCGAGCTTGTTTGGCTCTATTTCTTCCTTCCCTGTCAGCACCGGTAGAATTTAAAAAAGCATTACCGTTAAGTTTCGTTATTCGAACTTTTCCTATTTGCCGACCATACTTAAGAGCACGATCAATCAATCCATCGCGAGTTTTTTGGTCGACTTTCTCTTTAAGATAATTATGATTTGTTCTTTTGTACCATCCAACAAGGCCTTCTTCGGGAATATTTGTCCATTGTGAAAGCAATGATCTGTATTTTTTATTCGGTTTTTCAAAATCGTTATCAAGTAGGTATTTGATAAGCCATAGTGTAGCTTCGGGATCGATTCGATCGCGTGTTTTTTTCGTGGTTTCTACTGTTATTGGAGTTTTTAATGTTTTCGAAGCGGTACGCATATCATGAGCGATACTTTTATTTTCATGGTATAATATGGCAGTCTTTTCTACTAATTTGGAATGAATTTCTAAAAGATCTTCTGCAGTTTTTACTTGCTGATCGCATATGTCAGCAACGTTCTGTGCGAGTGAAGAGAGAAGAATAAAAAATTCAAGATCTAACTGCTCATCAAAATCAAACGATAGACTGGAAGCTTCCTTGACTATAATTTCCGCATATAATAAGATTTCATTCTCATCTTCAAAGGTGTATAATTTATCTCTAAGGTCAAGTATTTTCAATAAATTTGGATAGTGAGGGTGTGATTCAAAGCGTTTAATATCATCATTTAGACATTTATTATTAGAATTGCGGGGGGTTGCAAAGACTTGCGTCTGATGAATATCCTTTTGTAATTGATTTGCTCGAAGTGCCATGTTTTTTTTAGAATGCTGATACAAATAAAATTCAAAATAGCAAATTATCAAATTATCAAAAAAAAAAAAACGCTTATTTAAGTCGTATTCGAAAGATAAACTTATTTGACCCTTTCAGCGATTAATTGTAGTAAGACAAAATGCGAATCTCCTGCTTAAGATTTTTCGCTTGTAGGAGTTTTATTGTTAAATTAATAATTGCATAAAAGTATGATATGGCCGTAAACAATGGTTCAGCGAAACCAAAGAAATCATTGTTTTTGTAATAATAATAAACGTAAAATTATGTTGATATCAACTTAAAATATATCTTTTTCCCACATCATGCAACTGTATTCTATATCGATTACTCCTTCGAGATTACTTAAAATAATTATGATAAACTTTGTATTCAAAGTAATAAAATATGATATTATAGGTGTAAGAAAGTATGAAAATGGAAATGAACATTAGCATTAAGTTTCGAAAAGCATACTATTATATAATTAGATATCACACTAAATCAAAATGATTAAGAAACTTGCACGATAATAGGAGAAAATTTAAATTGACGTCTACGACATAAAAAGATGGTCTGAGAATTTATTAATTTGTATAATTCAAGACTTTTATCTATACCTTTACAATAGCCAAAAATAGAATAAAATACTATAAAATTTCTAGAAAAAAACCCTCGAAGTGAGGAGCACTAAGTTCTCGTGATGCATTATGTATTGTTGAGAAAAATCGCAAAGCTGTTTTGTAAAGCGAATTTTTGTAATTGTCATCACTAAAGTTTCCACTGTACCTTGACGTAATGTTTGGAAACTGGACATCTTGTTTAACTTAATCAAAATTTTTAAATCAAAAAGTATTCGAGTCAAAAAGATTTTTTAATCTTAACTTCATTCAAACTAGAAAATTCAAAAGCTTTGTTTTATCTTATTGTTTATTAAAAAAATATTGATTCGTAAACTCTATTTCACTAGGTATTTTGTAGACAATTCCCATTATTTTCATATAAACTATTATTACTATGCAATAAATATTAACTAAACTAATGTTATTTTTTAGTTTTCACATAAAACCAGATTTTACGCTTTTTATAAAATTTATTTAAAAAAGATAAATAAACTATACATATTTTTTAATGTACAAGTATGTATACACACGATTAATATCGGGATGCCGTTCATTCGGAATTTCGATCTTTCGAGATGCCGGAGTGCGTTTGTCGGGCTTATGAGCGTTCGGGGTTGTGTTCTTCGGTATTTTGAACATCATTGAAATAACAAACATTTTTTCTGATTTGAATTCTAATTTAAAGGATCCAGAGAATCAATGGTTTTTCTTACTTTCTTTTGAGAAACCATGCCAGAAATATATAACAACTTGTCTCTGATGAAGATTTCACCTTTCTCCCATTCTAAAAATCAATAACTCTATGCGTTTTTCTTCTGAGATCGTATACATAAGTAGTTGATGGAAATGATAATGGTGCATACTTCGAATAATAGCTGTTGTTGTTAACTAAATTTGCAAATTGAGATTAACTATGTATTCATATCGTGATTTTCTTTTTGGTTTGAAATTTTATCATTGTTCCAACAAGGCTTCACGTGTATTTATTCCTGGATCGTTTATAATGTTCATTGAGTTCTTGATAATGTTCTGGATGCAAAAACAATTTGAATAAACTTCTTTGTTCAAGGGTCTGAAGTTTATAATAATATCATTGAATCTTTAAGTTCTGAGCTTCGATGCTGTAGATAAATATCGCATCATTTCGATTTTAAATGATATAAGCCAATTCATGATATAATCATAAATTTAACCTGATGTTAGCAGCGTGATTTTCACGTTTCACTTGGTGCTACATTGACATACATGTGTAATTCTAACAAATAAGGAAATATTATTTCTTTTATACATGTACTGTACATGTAAACTCTCGCTAAAGCGATAGTAAATTAACCATTACAAAAAGTCTCTCTCTATAATGAATTTACTTGTATTAATAAATTCTCGATATAGTAAAATTTTTGAATACTTTTCCCTAATTGAACTATGGAACTATAAAGGAAGTCAACTGTATATTAAACTCGGGTAGAAAATTCGATTTTACATGTACATGTAATTATAATAATATGTATCGGTATGTCCATGTTCATGTTGCATAAATTACATGTACGTAAAATCTGTCGATCCTAATTACAGTTACCCGGTGGAATGGATACGGGGAATCTCCGTGAGACTGTACGATCACCGGATATCTCTAGTTATTTTCCGCGTTTTCCGTTAACTAATTCGTTATTACGTCGATCGCTACCGACCTATTGTCGAGTTGTTCGATCGACTTTCTCTTCAATAGTAGTGTCGACCTAAGAAAGTCATTTGTTGATCGTAGTATCGCAGTTTCGTTATTTCTTGTGTAGTCTCAGGGTAGACTTCTTTTTTAACAGAGAACTTGGGACAGATCAATAATAATTCGAAGGAGTGCATATTAAGTAGGAGTAATAAATGATCTTTATTTATTTTTAATAAAAGTTCATTACAATTATAGTTCTACTGAACTAAATTAAATTTTCTATTTATATTTGAAGTTCCTCCCACTTTTATCCCACTCTTATCGCGATGTCAAACATTTTTGTTTTGATTCATTAGTCGGCGCCCTATTGGTACACCTTCATATATTCGGGATTTATTGGTCTACTCTATATCAGACCATCATCCCCAACGATGCATCAATTATGGCTTTGATGCATCGCTGCATCCGGTTGCAATACCAACTTCACTAACTCCTATTACGAGATCTGATCCCGTGCCCAATATCACGCGGATCGGGATCTACGTGATGACGTAATCCAATTCCACGCTACGTGTATCAACGTAAATACTGTGCATGCACATGTAGAGACATGTTTGTTAATGATTTTCTTTTCTCTGATTCAGAAAAAATGATTTCATTAATTAAAACTTTGGCATCTTTTGGTATTACCGGTTGTCTCGAGTTTCTAGCCGTCGCAATTCTCTTTTATATTCTAATATATTATTATAATTATTTTACGCGTGAAAACCCTCTTCCCTGTCCATTTCCTTTACCCGTTGTTGGTAGTCTCTACCAAAATCCGGGACACATGGCAAATTGGATTCAAGATCTACACAAAAAACATGGTGACATGTTTGAAATTTGGGTCGGTTCACAGCGGCAAATCTTTTTAAACAACGCCGACCTTATTGCCAAAACCACTCTGCCATCATCAAAGACTGCCTTTGTAATTCGTTACTCGCATGATTCGGGATTGGAGGAATGGGGTGACACTACTGGAATATCGTTTAATCGGGTTCCATGGAGTTGGCGATATAATAGAAGATTAATTTTCGATGCCGTGAATTCGCTGAGCTTCCTTAACGAATTCACTAGAATGATGCAACAATATTTTGGCGGATTGGAGACATATTGGAAAGAAATAGGATTCGATAAACCACAAGATATTCAAATCTGGGTGAACCGATTTATTTCCGACATGCTTTATCTTACCACAACAGGAAAGAATCTTAATTTTATGGCGAAACACTTTAATAGTCTTTCGAAAGACAAGAAAGTTGATATTTCTACAAGTGATTCGGAAATGATTGCGAAATTTGTAACCGCAATAAATTTAGGATTTGAATCGATCTACTTTTACACCACCGTCCCTAATATTCTCAAAAGAACAATCTATCATAATCTATCTAAGAAATACGACACAGCTCATGACACAATAAAAAGGATACTCCTCGAAATCATTCAGGAACGACGAAAGAAAATCGATGATACTCCAATTGACGCTCCAATTAAGCCCGATGTTCTGAATGCGTTAATTATCGCCAAAACGGAACGAGATATTTCTCGCAAGAAGAATGATGAAGTTTCAAGACCTGCAACAGATGATGAAATTCAAGCGGATCTTCTCGAAACTATTTTAGCATCTGTCTCGACGGTTAATTTCATTTATTTATTCGTTTATTATTGTTTTAAGAACTTGATGGATTTAAATGATAAAACTTCTTTTAAAAGACATCAAATGCATTCGCATTTTTCGTTCAACACGTTGGCCGTGACAAAGAAGTCGCGAAAAAAATTCAAGAAGAAATCGACAAAGTATTCCCCGGTGATCCAAATAGTGAATTCTCATACGAAGATTTTAAACAACTTGAATATATCGAAGCAGCTCTCAACGAATGTAATGAAGTCTCAATTGATTGTTTTAATTTCCAAATTATTATTATTAGATATTTAATTCTCCGTCTTTTTAGCGATGCGTCTTCACTCTACTGCACCAATTATGTTTCGAACGAATAACGAACGGACTGAAGTTGGAGGATTTTCTTGGAAAACAGACACACAGTTTGGTGTAAATTTTCAAGCCGTGCATTATAATTCGGACCTTTGGAAAGATGTTGATAAATTCATCCCAGAACGACATCTTAACCCTGATAAAAGTTTGAAAAGAAAGTTCTATCCATTTGGAGGTGGATTGCATATTTGTCCTGGGCGCATTTTTGGCATGGCCCTCTTAAAGACGCTAGTGGTATTATTCTTCCGGAAATATAACGTGGAATTGGTGAATCCGAACACACCAATTCGCACTAGTCATGACTTTACTCTTCATTGTCATGATGCAATAGTGCGTCTTAGCCCACGAATTACAGCAAAATAAGAAATGTAGTACATGTATCGGTCGTAACTTTAGCCGTTGCTTTTTCTACTTATTATAGTATGAAAAATACATGTGGAATCGAATGTTATTTTTAGCAAAAATAGAAAAATTAGAAGAATATCACACGATCATTTTGTGGAAATGTGGTAATTCACCAAATTATAACGATAAACATTGTATAATTCAGAGTAAAAAACGAATGAACAATAAAAGGACATTCATTCTCTTTTTTTTACGATCCTTCGCTTCATTTTGCTATTTCTACCTTTACGAAATACATGAACTTACGAAACCTTACGTGTATTCATTTTATGGTTATAATTTCTCATAACTAAGGACGATTTCTTCAAAAAAGCAACATGAAATCAATAACTTTTAATTTAATGTTCATAATTGCTTCTATATTTTGTTTTTTGTTCCTGTCAGTGGATACTGTTTCAGCGTTACCTCAAATTTTTCCTACACCACCAAAGACGACGACGACGACAACTTCAACAACTTCAACAACTTCAACTACTTCAACTACATCGAAAACTAGGTGAGCAGTTAAGTTATACGTATTTTCGAATAAATAAATAAATAAGATCATCTTTATATATGTACATGTACTTATCGATATGATCTTAGCACAACAACTTCAACGACAGCAACTTCAACAAGTAGTACAACGACAAAAGAAAGCACAACAACCACAAGTGAAACTGCTACCTTTATTCCCACCAGTGATACATCGTAAGTATTTATTATTTGTATTTTCGAAATCCTGTATTTATAATAAACAAAAATTCGAATTCAATTCCAAAAAAAAATAGAAGCAAAGCAACTTCCCCAGACCCAGCTTCAACAACCTCACCGTCAACGGTAGTAGTAGTCGTCAGCGGAGTAACTAGCACAATCGTCACAACACCAACCAACAAAAATATTCCACAACTTATCAATGGTGCTTATCGCTCTGCACCTTATCGTTATTTGTTCTCGTTTTCTTTCGCAGAACCATCTCTTGTTAATAATTTCTTGCTGATTATTGGCGCTGGAATTTTTTCTGCATTTATATTTGATATATAGTTAACAGGATTTTCTTTCATATCAAACGAAATTATGAATTTGATCGTGATTACTACATGTATTGTCATGTACATGTATTGAGAATCTTAGAACGTGATACATAATATAACACAAATCAAACACATCCAAACATTGCAATAACGATAAATACATATCTAATATGCAGTCATCCTGTTTTCTAACCATTGCTCTCTCCTACACACAAAATATACCTACAACACTCTTTTGAAATGAATCCAAAAACTCTCACTATCTTCATTCTCTTCCTAAATTTTTTGATTGTCGGAACACCTGCACGCGGGAACGATGCAGGTAACGACCCGAAAAACAACAACAATAATAACGGCGACCCGAAAAACAATAACAATAATAATAATGGAAATAACGGATATATGTAAAAGAATGCTTTTATTAATTGGCATAGTAAATTTTTTCGAAATTCTGATCCATTACTAAAAAAAACTCAAATTTTATATTCAAAAGCCCAAATTTCATACCGTCTTTTGTGACCCAATCTCTTCCTTATTATACACCGACCTTAGACGTTAATAATTTGGTTAGTGGTGTATTTACAACTATAGCGTCCACGCCCACACCCACAACACCCTCTATTGCTACAAGTTCAACTGTTAAGCTTATAAGCACTGCTCAAGCGGAAGCTGTCAATAGTGCAGATGCGAATCCTCAGAATACGCAAACCACCGTTGTAGTTGTTGCTGGAGGTTCTACTCCAACGTCTATATCAAATGCGTACGACTCTTTGGGCCTATCGCTATCTCAATTCAATGAATTGAATGTTAGTTTGTTTTTGATTGTAATTTCCATTCTCACCATTATTAAGGATATTTTTATTGGCTGATACTAATATGAATGGTCGTTAGAGATGTACAGTAAAACCTCTTTAAATGCAATTCGCTGGGGAACATGTTAAAAACAAAGTAGAGTTTGCATTTTATAGAGTAAAATAGTTAGAGATCTTATAAGCTTGTGAATAGAATTTATGGCGCTTGCTTTTATAGAGGTTGCATGTAGAGTATTCCATTATATATCGATATTCATGTGATTCAAGATAAAATTCTCAGTTTTAATGATTTATATTGGAATCTAGCAAGCTTAAGTTTCTAATTATAAAAGATTTTACTAACGGTATACATTTTATTAAAACAAGTTATGCCAACATTAAATCTGCACAATTTAATATGTTAATTATAGTCCAATACGTATGCTGCGCATGCTTAGGTTGCGTGCTAAATTGCGTGTGTTGTCTGGCTTGCCTGAATGACGCGTGTAGTTTTGTCTAGTAGCGTATGTAAAAGTATAAAAATGAAATGAAAGATACATTCGTTATGCGTAAATAAAATTCACGTACTATTTTATTGAATTTATAATTTTTATACGATAGTTTGGGCAAGCGCAATGTTGCACACAAATCAAATTGTTTTTTACTTTTAAGTTGGCAACATAGCACGTATGCCAAATACGCAAATTCAACAAGCCAGACCACGTGAAACGTTAGCAATCATATGCAAATGTACATGTCTCAATTCTCATAATAAGTGTCGTTATATCGAGAGCTATATTTTGTAAAGCAGAAATTAATTTGGCGATTGGCAACATCACCATTCATTTTTATTTCCGTTGTGATGATTGAACTCGGATTTTTCCTATAACTGAAACGAGAATTCGTACTATTCAAAATTTTATTATCATTATTGTTCTTCCTTTGTAAATCATTATTTGTGTTACTATTTTAAAGTAAATAACAATGATCAAATACTGTAAAAGGAGAAAGGATCAATAAAATATGTAAACTTGGCGCGAACCAGAGCTACAACTGTGTAAGAAACAACACAGTTGAAACATCTATGTCCTGATCAATGATATGAAACACTACAATTATCAGTTACGAATTGACAGCTCGTATTATCCGGTGGTCGAAACCTAAGATTTCACAAAAAAGGTCACCACGCTATAGGTCCTATACAATCAAAGCAGAAACGGAGAGTTTAGCTATACCGCAAGTTAATACAAAGAACAACGAGTTTAGCTATGTCACGAACGAAAGGTAAGAACGGAGAATTTATCTCAAAGTTAGAGAGAGTTTACCAAGGTCATAGAAACATCACAGGGTAAAGGATCAGCGGATCAACGGGCTTAAAGATGACAATCGATCTCATACCCTCGGCCACTGACAGTCCAAACTTGTTAACATAAAATTGTTTATTCTTCAGAATAAATTATATTAAGTAAACTTACCATAATATGCTAGTGAAAACTCTGGATTGGGAGTAAAGAAAATTCGTGGAGTAGCGGTTGACTGAACGAGAGCGAGCGAAGGTGGGCAATCGAGCATGAATAAACGCGCACGGTAAGCGAGAGTGAATAAATGAAACCTTTTTATAAACAATTCAATCGAAAATATTTGTGAGAATATTTGTCGTGAAACAAACATGCTCACGGTAGTTATGAATAACTAAAATAAAAAATATTCATTAATAAATTTAAAAATTTTTATATAACAATTTATACACTTTATTAATTATTATTAGTAAAAATTCAGTATTATATTAATCTTAATTGTTATAATATTTCTTTTTTTCCAGGTTTTCAGGGAGTTTATTTCACGAACGGTATCCAGTTCTTTTTTATCTTTTCAACGATAATGAGAATAAAAAAATTGTGTTTCCTAAAAAAGTTTGTAAAATTTCATTTATTTTTTTTGTTCAAAAATAGTGTATGAATAAACAACATCTTTACGGAGAAGTAGATTACACTTCTTTAGTGAAGGCTCGTGAAACTTTAAGTAGAATTCTTCAGTCAGCACAATATGAAGCTGAAAAAATGGGGGTGGTGAAGGCTTTCGAAATTTGTTTTATATAATTCTTTAAATATTATAATTTTTCAATTTTTAATTTATAATATTAAAAGTTATAAACAAATAATTAATATATATTTTTATTTTTACATTTCTTAAATTTATATTATAATTACAGTATTTAATTATAAAAAGAATTTAAAAAAAGATTAAAAAAATTTATTATAAAATAATTATAAAAATAGAAAGATTATAAAATAATAATAAAAACAAAAAATAAAATAAAATTATAAATCTAAGTAATATAAAATATTATAAACAATTAAAAATAAAATTCTAAAATTTAATAAATAAAATTTAAATTATAAATATAATTGTTCAAAATAAATTTAAGAGAATAAAAATAAAAATATAATGTAATGTAAAAAATAAAATAAAATTATGATTATATAATTTGACATAATTTTATAAGATAATAAAGTTAATATTTCTTCTATTATTATAGTGATAATAATATTAATAAATATAAAACAAAAGTGACTTTATAAAAATCTGATTTCACTTATTACATAATCTAAATAAAAAAATGTAGAATTTTTTAATAAAAAATATTTTACTTATATATTTTTTTAATAGAATTTAATAAAAATCTCAGTAATATCTTTTATAAATTTGAATTTAAGTTTAAAAATTTTAATATTTTATTTTACAAATTCTTAACAAACCATTTTTTTAATAATATTGCTTTAAGTAAGTTTATTTATTGTATTATAATAATTTTTAGTAAAATTTTGATAAAATTTCATCTGTAATAAAGAAATATATAATTAAAATTATTTTTTATAGTATTTTTGTGAAACTTATTTTTATATAAATATATATAAATTTTTCTAATCATTAATTTTTATAATAAAAATTGTTGAATTGCATTTGAACCTTCACGTGTCATAATTCGCCGGACAAGATATTAAGTTTTCGCGGACGGCCCAATTTAGGTTTATTTTTAATACTATTTGTTTCTTCATAATTTTTAAGTCTTGTTATGGTCGTATGGCGAAGCAACGTAATTATTTGGAACGTTGCTCTATAGTAAACTGCATTGTGTTTTAATAAAAAATACATAAATATATTAAAGTGAATATGGGGGAAATTTTTTTAAATTATTATATAGAAAAAAAAGTTTTATTAATACTTTGCTCGTACCGAGAAAAAAACGACTTACGAATAATCGGTATGATTAACATCCCCTAGAGCTCATGTTCAATGTTGATTGGTGGGCACATTCAAATTGCCGATCATAAGTCAACTACAGTCAAAGCTCGTTACAACGGCACCGTATATACCTGAGTCGGCTTATACCGAAGCAAAATCAAGAAACCGATTTTTATTATATAAAAAAGCCCGTTATACTGAAGTTTACTAGTCAAAGCTGGTTCCGACGAAATCTAAATTTTTTACTAATGTCCCAAATGCCGTTTACTATATCTTATATACCGGCACGTAATTTGATTGGTTGATGATTTTCTAAAATAATAATCAGCGGCACTGAACATCACACTGCTTATTTATTGATTTGTCATTTGAAATCATCTCGCTTTCAACTTACGCCATCATTCTCACCCTCCCAATACATAGTACATCGTGGTAAGAACTTTTAAAAGATATTTATTTCTCATTTTTTTGAAAAAAAACTAATAAAAGATATTTGCCTTAAAAAAAAAACAAAAACCCACACCCAAAAATCATGAGCTCACTATTATTTTCAATCGTGGAGAATCTACAATTTCTGACATTTTAAAACAGTCAAACAAATGGCTAAATATTGAACCTGACTCCCAAAGTGCAAATAATATTTGAAATCGTGGCTCTAAATGATCTCAACATGATGTTGCACTTGCTATCTGAACACAAAATGCCATGTCAAATCACCAAGATCTAACCGGTAACATTATTAAGATGATGGCCAAGCATTTTGCAAAATCTCATCAAATTGATGATTTCAAGACATCAGATGGTTGGTTGACTCAGTTTAAAGAATGATATCATTTTCGGCAATATACAAAGCAAGGTGAGGCTGCTAGTGCACCATCTACCAAATTATTAATTCAAGAAAGACACAAACTTCAAGAAATTCTTTGATCATATCATCTTGAGGACATATTTAACTGGACTCTTTTACAAAATGGTTCCTAATAAAACTCTTGCACAAGAACCTCTTTCTGGTACTAAAAAAGATAAAACACGTATTACAATTCTTTGTGGTTGCAATATTGCTGGAACTGAAAAGCTGCCTGCACTTTTTATTTATTGTTCCAAGTCTCCTTGTTGTATGAAAGGCATAAATTATAAACTTCTTCCAGTTTCTTATTATTGGAATAATAAAGTGTGAATGCAAGTAAGTATTTTTATTCATAAATAAATAATATTACTTACTATACTAACTAGTTATTACTTTTTAGGTTTCAATTTTAATGATTTTTTGAAAAAGTTTGATATAAAAATGCATCTACAAAATCGAAAAATCATTCTTCTTATTGATAATGCTCCTGTTCATATTGTTCAAACTCCTCTTACCAATATTCATATTGAATTTTTATCTTCTAATACTACTGCATATCTGCAACTATGTGATGCTGATATTATTAATTCCTTTAAATATCAATATAAAAAATATTTGTTCAAAATCGAATTGAAGCTTTTGATGCTATTCAAGGTATATTTTTTATGTTTTTTATATTGTACATATTTATTATTACTTACAATTTTTATTAGAAACTGATAAACCAGCCAGCTTTAGTATTCTTGATGCCATTCATGCAACTGCTGACACCTGGGTAAATGTCTCTGCTGATACTCTTATTCATTGTTGGAAAAAGACTGGCATTCTTCCTCCTCTCATTCATCAACCAATTCAAGAAATTAATGTCAGAGTAATTGAACAGCAAGAACAAAATGAATTAAATGAGTTAATTAAATATTTTCAATTTGATAATCCAATGAATGGAGAAGGTATATAGAATACTTACTCTCTTATAAATTTTTATTTTTTCCTCCCTCCCTTCCTCATAAATAATTTTCTTTTCGTTATTAGAATTCTTGCATATTGATGATAACTTATTTCAAGAAATTGTTATGTCAGACGAAGAGATTTTATCCCAAGTTATTAATTCTCCACCAGGAGCATCTGCTGCCGACATTAATGTTGTAAGAAAATTAGGGGCAGCAATTGAACACGTTGAAATCAAAGAGCGACGCCAAACATCATTAAATAGTTATTTAAATGTCGCATAGCAAAATTGATTATCTGTTATATTACATGATAATTATCTGTCTATACCGAAGATCATGACCACTACTTAGTAACGCCGGTATACAGTGTATACCGGATTTGGGTTATACCGGCCTAAAATGGTCGGGACAATGCAGCCGTTGTAACGAGCTTTGACTGTATGTAGATATTAATAAAATTCATGTTTTTCTGAATAAATTTTTACAATGTTTGCTTATAAATTGTTAAGAAATTAATTGTTGAAGTTTGTGTATTTTTTTCCGGTTTTAAATTGGTCGGATACTTTGACCGGGGAGTGTACATATATCTAATATATAATGTATGATCATAGAAATTAATTTCAATTTAATAAATTTAAAAATTATCGCTTTCATTAAAGATTACCTTAAAAATACGCAATTCCATATTTGGTATTTTATCAGTTGGTTAGGTTCTCGTTTTACCCAAGAGCAATCGCAAAATGTTCCGATTGTGCCACTAGTATTTAGTGTTTCCAACAATGATCGAAATATCGCAATATTTGGCATTTTCATAAAATTATTATGTGATAAATCTTAATAACGATAAGTATTAACGTTAACCTAGAAACATGTACCGCTACAAGTATTCTGTAATGGGCAATTTTGGGACAAGTTTTATCAAACGCATGTGCCGATATCTGTGGATATCGTTATTGGCGTCGACTTTAGGATTTGTTATGTGGGATTTTACGAACCACGGCCAAATAAGTTTATTATTATATTTTTATCCAGAATAATGCTAACTAATGCGGAACAATGGTTTTATAACTAAAAGCCTTAAATCGTTCAATCAGTTCGATCACAATAACATATGCTTTTCAGGAGTAAAGGACCTAACCATCAATCAAGTTACAATTGTATGAATTAGAGCTTTAAAGCACACTTTATTTATCCTTTTCCAACTGCTCTTTTACATGTAATACGTAATTAAGATTTTATATTTAACACTTAATTCTCTCATGTATTCACACACACAAGTTTGTCACACATAGAATTTGAATCACTACATACCGATACATGTACATGTGCATGAACATGAATCCTGTAACTGTATAACGGCAACGATTATCGGTTGTTTTACTATCATTTAACCAATTCACCAATTTTATTCCACTGAGCTCGAAGATGGAATCAAATACTAATGATGAGAAAAAAGCATTTGAGTGGTATTTAAAATCAGCAGAGGGTGGTGA